GAAACCACTTTATATAAAGAATCAAAATACTATTATACCCTACTAGAGCCTATCTACGCTTATCATTGTTAACTTTCAAAAACAGAGTTCCGAGAATAGATACCTATTAAAAATTGAACTCGTTTACTATTTCCGATGGAATCCCAACTACGAACGCTGCATTATTTACCACTTCTTAAATTAGAAAATGTTTTTCCTCCTTGTCACATGCAGAAACGATCGATGAAAGGAAATCCTTCTGATGCTATACGTATTTTGAAGGGAGAATTTATTTTATTAGTAACACTGAAGGCACTAACCAATCAACACATCCAGGCTGAATATGATTTCATATTTTCCACCAAAAGCAGTAACCTGAACCAACATTAAACTCGAATAGCACTCACACAGCTTATAAACAAGATTACTATTGAGTGGAATCATTTTTATAATGAAAATTCAAGTGGGATTGAAGATGATAAAATTTAAATTTTTTCCTTATTTAATTGGCTCATCAGGAAAAAGGAACTTCATAATACGGTTTTTTAAAGAGTTGTTTCTTAACACAATTAAAAATTAAGAAAACACTGTCGAAAGACATTTGATTCAATTTACTAAAAGTTATTGGATAAGTTGTTTTTAAAATATTCTACTTTTTATAATTTCTATGGTACCTTTTATCATTGAATTACAAATACAATAAAATTACCTAACTTTTGAAGTTTATCAATAACAATATTACAATATTATAAAATTCGCAAAGAAGCATAGCCATTTTTGGCGTTTGTTCAAAGTTTTTATATTTTCCCATTAATATCGATATATATATTTTATATTGAACGAAACGATAAGGTATCACTCAGATGTGGTTCTAAAATGAATATAAGAATAAGTAATTTAAAAGAAAAGTCAAAAGATTCGGCAAAATGACTAACCATCAAAATAATATTTTCTTATTAGATCCAATTCTAGATAATTTCTAATACATTATAAATCCTAATATCAAAGCCTAACAAAAGTAAAATTATTACAATTTACACTTGAAGGTTAAGTTACATTAAAATCTTAGTATGCTGGAGCAATTCCAGTTAAAATTATAACTCAGCGATAACAGGTTAGTCGAGGAAATCATTCCTTTGGTTATTCTATCCCTTTATTTCACGTTGTAATGGCCATAGAAAGATCAGAAATTATATTTTTTTTAATTTGATTTTAAAACACCTCTACATTCTGGCGTACTAAGGAATTTAAAAACTACTTCAGAAATGGTATCTGTTGGTTCCTCGTCTACATTGTCCTGTGATTCAAAAAGTCTCATGTATTATTGATATTGATATATTCATCGTCGCAAAGAAATGTAAAAAAAAACACTTATATATGTAGTTATATTAATATCAACATTCTGATGGAGTTTCACAAAAAATTTTCAGTTCCAACCTGATGTTAAATCAGAAATTCAAAACGGAGGAAAAGTCATTGCCGACGAAGATAGTTGTGTTATTGCCGATTTAGCATCTGAATCACAGGAAGACACAACGGTAAATGTTCACATTTGTCTCAAAACTTAAGGTATAAGGCTTAAATTTTAGATTAAATTGTGTTACTGTTAAAGGATGAGTTGTACAGACTGAATGTGAATGAATTCAATTAATAGCTCTGTTTTGTAGGACAATACACATTTAGGTCTTGGTCGAAAAAGGGAAGGGTCTGAAGATTTTAAAAGCAGATTAAAAAAAGAGCTTGTTAGTCGAGATGGTCATAAGTGAGTAACAATTAGTATTTTTAACACTGTTATATTGCATGCTACGATAATTTATAAAAAAATACAACGTGTAATTATACAACACGCTACTGAAGTGAAACTTCTTCAAACACACAAACATACCGGGATAGGGGTTAAGGAATTGGTTTAATGGTATTATTTGTACACTATGCTTTGCACGGGTGCAATGCTGATAGTAAATATACTATAGAATATCTTTATATACAACAATCACAGCTTTTTTGTCATTGTCATGCCGGTACCGCCGCAACCGCTATGTCCCTGCATTTTAAGTCTGTAATATCTTCGAAAATATTCATTTAAATTACATGCTGTAAAGGGCCAAATTGATGTATATTAAATGCACAATATATTTAAAAGTACTTAACTGGATAAGGATTAATGCTGTATTGCTTAAAATCGCTTCGTAAATAAGCCATTATTTCTCGTAAAAAGTAAAGGATAAACAATGGTTATTGTGGGTTATTCCGAAAAGATAGACATATACCATCACGGACTTTTTTGTAGACCTTTTTAAGGTGTAGTACATTATTTTGATCTATCTCGTAGGGTTCAGCCAGCGTTTGCAATGTAAGCGCAAAAAAATGTGTTTATTTACGACATCACATTAGAAACCTCTCAAATTATCAGTGTTTCTCTACTATATTATGCATGTATTATACATATAAACCTTTCTCTTGAATTACTTTATCTATAAAAAAAACCGCATTAAAATCCGTTGCGTAGTTTTAAAGATCTAAGCATACATAGGGACAGACAGCTGGGGAAATGCGTTGCATGATTTCGTTACAAAGCAACTCGCATGAAACGAACTTACCTTACCGTGCGTAAAGAAGTTTCACTTCAAAAGAATGAGAAAATACTTTAGAAATAGTTTTTCGACATTATCGAAGATATTTCGTCCTTAGTATTCATCGATATTTCTTTTCAGAGAATTAGCAAAGAACACCAAATTTATTACTTTAAGTTTCATTAACCCCGAAATCGATAAGGCCTACCATCACCACATGGAAACTTTTTCGAGCGTTACCTTGCAATCATTTTTGGTTGTGAGATTAGCGACGGGTATAGCTCAATTCATTGTTCTTCCAAGGTAAAATTAAATTTTATGGGTATTCGTTTTTATCTACATGTCGATTGAAATACATAAATTATACATATAGTTAAGTTAAATGGGTCACATAATTTGCTTTCAAATGTAGCCATATACATTTCGTGATTATACAAATGGCATAATCTCGACTATTGACATTTTAAAACAATTCCAAACATAAAATTGTTACAATCGGAGTCATTCGTACATATTCAATATGTCCTGGCGTTTGTTCCTTCTTTTCTAATGTCTAATTTTCGACGTTCAAGCACTCATATGATGATATATCGGCGATTAAGAAAATGCTTCTTCAAAAAGCACACCATTTATTTTGTTGCGAAGTAACATGTTTTCTTCTTTGTCCCTAAATGTTACGAAAGAACACCGCAAACTTTCGAAAAACTGTGGTGTCTTTCTTGAATGATAATAGAATATATTTCATTCCTGACAATACGTACTTTTAAAGATTTTCGCGTTGGTAATGTTCAAGAAAATATATCAGTTCAAACGTTTAAATAAAGGAGGTACCATGTTATAAATTAAACGGGCGTTGAATGGAATTAATGAACAAAATTGACATATGTAGATAAATGAAGAATATAATTTGATAAATTTCTGAGTATGTACGTGATTTATAGTGTCCGACCGAAAGTTCAGTTTCGGTTTCGGTCGAGTTTCGGCAAAAAAACGAGTTTCGGTTTAGTTTCGGTTTCGGCGGCAAACCTGCCGAAACTACGACCGAAACCGAAACTGCGTTCGGGAGTTCTCGCGCTCTGCTCGGTCATGTGCGGCGCGTTAAATTCCATCCAAGCGAAGTATTTTAAGTATTTTTAAGGCGCAATTAAAGCATTTCCTTAAATGAGGGGTTGTTATGTTGATTTTGATTTGATTATCAATAAGTGAAAATGTCAAAGACTGCAGAACTATGTGATTTAAAGATAAAAAAATAAAACTAACGTTTTCTTTATTTTTCTCTCAAAACATGATCCTTATGAGGAAGTTTCGGTTTCGGTTTCGGTTTCGGCCGAAACTGAGACCGTTGCCGAAATTCGGTTTCGGTTTCGGTCGTAAAAACCAGTTTCGGTCGTAAAAACCAGTTTCGGTCGGACACTAGTGATTTATATTACCAATGGCTTCTTGAAGCATTCGTACAGTAAAAAATGCATACAAAAATATCTACTTTCAGTGTCCCTTTTCAGCACTTCTTCATTTCCTTATTAACCAGTTCTCTTATTGCAGGAGAACAATGAACTTCCTTTCCTTTATTATTGGTGATATAGTATTTATGGTGATATCAGGAATATCATTGGTCGACTTTTTGCCAAAGGTAATGCGATAATGCACAATAATTTAAAATTTAAAAAACTGTTTTTTTTATGTTGTATTTTCCAGCCACTTTGCGGAGAGTTCACGAAATGTTTCAACAGATTTTCAGACTCGATGTTAATGAAACAAATATTATCTTTAGTATGCATTGCATTATTAACAACAGTGAATATAATAGACTCGGTAATTTCATTATTTAAGGAATATAACCAAGTCATTTAAATAATGTCGTACTTAATAACTTCAGTTCTCCTGTTCAATCGTTCGTCCTTGGAACGAGAACTGCGTGATAATCCCTGAGGAAACTGACAGGTCATGCATGTACCCATCGTATTTCAGTTATTTCGCTGTACTTATCCTGATAGCTACCTCGTTGCCAGCCTCGCTGTCTTATCTATGCAAGGCTGCAATAATGGCTCTGATAACTTCACTGCATTGCGTTGTAAATATGCTAATGTTAAGTAATGCCTTTAATTGTGCAGAATTACGAAGAGATTGGCCTAAGTAAGTTATATTTGTATGCAGCATTGGGTAGTTTCGATGTGGTAATCTTTCTTTTTCAGTTTTATGAGGAATAAATTTGCCCTGTCGGCGTTATTAGTTACCGCAACATTCACCCTTGTTCTTTTAGCCAGACACGTAAGTTTCCTTAACATTATAAACATTAGAAATGTGCTTACATTATTGTGCTTTGATTATTACACGTAAGTACCTACATAATAAAAAAATTGCAAGAATTATTACGGAAAACGTACCACCAGCAAAGGCTGATGTTCGAAAAGGATGTCATTTTTTTTTATATAAATCTATAAGTTCATATCATCAGTTTTACTGATTTTATTGACCAAGTTACGTCATAAATAAAGAAGAAAAATGGTATACTACCCTTATAAATAGTTATTTACGACTAGAAAGCACTGAAGTTAGTAAAAAATTCGATTATCTACGCACGTAAATCGAGCTTTAATGTTGTGATAAACTAGTGAGAAAGAAGAAGGTCATCAAATTGGATATATCGAACAAATTGAAGCTCTAAACCCTAATTTATAGCTCAATTAAGATAAATTGTTTATCTAGTTTTTTTTATTAGAAAATTACTTGCAATCATTTGCTACAACAATTATTAAGTCAGATGATTCCGACACCTCCACACGAATTTTAATTAACACCGAAAGTATAAAATACAATGAAATTTTCAAAAACAAATAATACACAAAATCTTCAATGACCTTTAAATTTGAAGATATTCCAAGCTCGTAAAAGTGCCAGTTTAAAGAATAAGAAATTTATCTTTTCTTTATAAAACTTGAGATAAATATCGTGATGAGTACCTATAAAATTTGCTTCCACGGTTCACTTTATTCCTTACAATATAAGTCAAAAATAACTTTTTATGATCCCACTCCTTCAATTTTTATAGAAACATTGTCTACTTAGAGAAATTTTCGTACATTACGAATACTTTACAGCATTTCCTTAGAAATTTGACCAAAAGCTTTTGTAGCTTTCACTATCCTCCAGAACATTTGGCTGGATACAGTTCTAAGAAATAAAAAAAGATACTAAGATACTTTAGAAATAAAATTATTCATTAATCATTACATCAATGTACCGTAAAATCTTATGGGAATAAGTATCATGAAATTATGGTAAAATTGACTTGAGCCAGTACTGCAGCTTTTTTAGTTTTTCCGCTGTGATTTCCTTTGCATTTTGATTTATTTTGAACACGCATGCAAAGTCTAAAGAAGAAGTGATTCCAATTTATTGTTTAGATGGAACAAGTGGCGAGGGTCTTATTTTTATGGAGGTCCGAGGTGGAACGTCAAAAGGAAACGGCCGCCGACATGAGGCGTCGTAATGAAGCTTTAGTATACAACGTTTTACCCCCACACGTGGCAGCTCACTTTATGGGCAACCGGAAACGGTCGTACGACGAACTCTATTCGCAAAGTTACGCGGAAGTCGGAGTACTTTTTGCGTCAATGCCTAATTTTTCTGGTAAGCTGTTTATCGTACAAAATCAATTCCTTAACATTACCCCTTCGCAGTAGACCATATGCTAATAGAAAAAATAACAGAACATCGCCCTTACAAAAGTGCCACCCTATTAAAAATAATGAGCATTCGAAGTAAATTACTTAATGCCATTTTGTTTATGATTAAAAATGATGTGTATTTAGTTTCCTCAGAAGTTGTAACAAACTTTGAATTAAACATGTTTCACCGAACATTGGCTTCATCAAGCAATAGTAACAGGTCAATTGAAAAGTCCCCGGCCTAAAATAGTAAAACACATTTTTTTTGCAAAATTCGTTTTTTTTTATTCAACATAATTCCCTTCAAGGGTGATACACTGATTATAGCGATCCTCCAACTTTTCGATACCATTTTTGTAGTACGATTTGTCCTTTGCTTCAAAATAGGCCTCAGTTTCGGCGATCACCTCTTCATTCGACGAAAATTTTTTCCCAACGAGCATTCTTTTGAGATCTGAGAACAGGAAGTAGTCGCTGGGGGCCAGATCTGGAGAATACGGTGGATGCGGAAGCAATTCGAAGCCCAATTCATGAATTTTTGCCATCGTTTTCACTGACTTGTGAGACGGTGCATTGTCTTGGTGAAGCAGGACTTTCTTTTTCTACAAATGCGGTCGTTTCTCGGCGATTTCGTCCTTCAAACGGTCCAATAACGCTATGTAATAGTCGCTCTTGATGGTCCTTCCTTTTTCAAGGTAGTCAATGAAAATTATTCCACGCGCATCCCAAAATACAGACGCCATAACCTTGCCAGCCGACTGTTGCGTTTTTGCACGCTTGTAGCGGGTTCATCGTGTGCAGTCCACTCCGATGACTGTCGATTGGACTTCGGATTGAAATGATGGAGCCATGTTTCATCCATTGTCACATATCGACGCAAAAACTCGGGTTTATTACGCGTGATCATCTTCAAACACTGCTCTGAATCATCAACTCGTCGTTGTTTTTGGTCAAAAGTGAGCTCGCGCGGCACCCACTTTGCACAGAGCTTTCTCATACCCAAATATTCGTGAATGATGTGATGTATACGTTCCGTTGATATCTGTAGAGTGTCTGCTATTTCATTCAATTTCAATTTACGGTCATTCAAAATCATTTTGTGGATTTTTTTAATGTTTTCGTCCGTAACAGCCTCTATTGGGCGTCCACTGCGTTCACCGTCTTCGGTGCTCATTTCACCGCGTCTAAACTTTGCATACCAATCCTTGATTGTTGATTTTCCTGGGGCAGTGTCCGGAAATTCGTTATCAAGCCAAGTTTTTGCTTCAACTGTATTTTTTCCCTTCAAAAAGCAATATTTTATCAACACGCGAAATTCCTTTTTATCCATTTTTTTCACAATAACAAAAGTTGCTTCACTAAAAATGCTATAATTCACAAACTAAGGATCCGACAGCCGTAAAATTTATAGACGCGTCTTTTGAAGGTTAGGACTAACTGAAAATCATATGGATTTAGTTCTGGTGCCGCCATCTATGTGTCAGGCCGGGGACTTTTCAATTGACCCTATATTTAACTAATTATTACAATTTACAACTATCTTAAATAGGTACAAATGAAGAGGAGTTGGCAGTGATACAAAATTTTTACAACATACATCAAGGTTACAGAATGCTTGTAGAAGAAGCCAAAGTTTAATGAATCAATTATTACGTAAATTTGAAAACATTCTGAAATTTCCAATTTGTTAGGGTATCGTTTTTTATAAATAAGTATTTGTTATTAATTTTAACCAAGTGACTGTTCTAGATCCTATTTTATTGTATATAAATCAATAGTCTTATCGTATTCTTATAATTCCCTAAATATTTTATATTGTATTTAGCACTTTTCTGAACCATTTTCTGTCTTTTAGATTTTTACTCGGAAGAAACGGTAAACAACCAGGGTTTGGAATGTTTGAGATTCTTAAATGAAGTCATATCCGATTTCGATGCTGTAAGTTTAAAAGATCCCGTTTTTAGTACAACAAAGAAACCCCAAAAACAAAAACAGGAACGGAAACAAAGGCGTTTATACCACTATCGATTATTTTTATATGTATTGGGTTATACGTTATTCCAGTTTACATTTCCGTACATAAATTTCTGTTTTTTTCTGTTTTACACGTTAGCAAAATACAGCAATCGTGCGGCGGGTGAAAGGTAGTCAATAAATTTCAGTTTACGTCTGGTTGATTTATTTGACCGTTTCTGATATAAACCCTACCTATTTTAGGTCCTCGAAATTCGAAACAATCTACCGAATCACCAAAAAGGAAATAAGAAAATACAATCTTTCTTTGAACGATGTTGTCTTTCCGTGAAGGTTTTTTTTTCAATCATTAAACGTTATCCCAAAAAAAAAACAGATGTACTTTTTTTCACGATTGTTAATTGGCTTAAATAAAACAACCTTATTGTGTCTCATTATCTAGCGGATAAATTACTAAATCACTTATTGATTGCTAAATGAAAAATATTACATTATGTTTTTGGCAAATATTCTCCACGTAGCACTCACTACGCTACGGCGTTTGTAATTATTCACATAAAGAAATAGAAATATAATTTATTTAAATAAATATCTAATGTTTTATATACATATAGGCAAATATTACATGGTTAAGTTATTATCTAATGCAATACAAGATATTCTCATTAATTCAAAATAATGAAAACCATAATATTACGATACTCAGCAAAGAATTAAATAGTCAGTTAACAATGTTCCTACTGTACGATTTAATCTGGAAATGCATAAAATGGTAGAAAACTATCCCACAGGGTGAGTGAAGACGACAAATCACTTCACCACCCTTCCTTACTCCTGATTCTTCAGTCTGCATTCGAATTCGACTTTCTAGATTATTACAATTTCACACAAATTTTTTAGATGTAGGTATTAACTTTGAACTAGTGACCTAAATAGAAACTTTTTGAATACTATGTAACAATCTCGATAAATTATCAGTGAATGAAAATGAGAAGCATTGAATAATGCAGATTTCTTCTAAATTAAACTATTTATGGAAATTTTCAGTTGCTGGAACAACCCCAATTTCAGGATATTATAAAAATAAAAACAATCGGTTCGACCTACATGGCAGCCAGCGGATTAAACCCCTCACGTCAAGTGAAGGTACATTTATAGTTATTTCATTCACTTTCAGTTCTTTCGATTGACTTCTTATTAGATAAAGTAGCTACACGGGAATCTGTACTGACCGTTTTCTTTTCTATGTAGCCCGACGACCCCATCACTGTACGATGGTCTCACTTAGCCCTTTTAGTCGAATTCGCCCTAGAACTGAAAAGGGCCTTACAAAGTATCAACGAGCAAAGTTTCAACCACTTTGTGTTAAAAATGGGAGTCAATCACGGACCTATTACAGCTGGGGTAATTGGAGCCCGGAAACCCCATTACGACATCTGGGGCAATACTGTAAATGTAGCGTCCCGAATGGAGAGCACTGGAAAAGCAGGTTGTATCCAGGTCAGTATTATGATATTAGAGAAAACGACAGCAATATAACAAATTTTCCAGTAATAAGTTACAGCAGCCATCTATTTATAAAGCTTTTTTGATAAGTAGTTGCTCATTTTTCTGGCAAGCTCTTGAAATTCTTTTGTTACGCGGTCACTCATGTGCCGTTCTGAGTATGATTTATGACCCTGAATGGTCTGCCGGCATAGGGCTGGCTTCGTCGATCCATGCTTTTCGGCATCACAACAAAGGGCATCGACACAGCCGTTTTAATTGACCAGTGATTCATGGTTAAAGATTACAATTTAAGAATTTAAAGTAACACAACATATATTTTCGCGTAAGGAAGTTCAAAAATAAATTCTCCCTAAAATTCCTGACGTCAAGATATCACAGTATATCAAAATTAAGCATTTTTATATACTGAGAAATTTCCTATTTCCGGAAGGTATATTGAAATAACAAAGTTTGTTTGTCACAGGTAACTGAAGAGACCTGTATGATACTACAACATTTTGGTTACCAATTTGAGCAACGAGGGTTAGTTGCTGTAAAGGGAAAGGGCCAATTGATGACCTACTATTTGATTGGGAAAACGGGTAAAATAACTCCTCCAACTGCACCCATGTCTCCGTCATTAGGATTGTCGGGAATGGAAACTGTTGCCGAAGAAGATGAATCGAAAGAAAGTCTTATAAGCGAAGAAAAAACAATTATAGAATGCACGATAATACAAAGAGATTACAGAAGTGACGAAGATGGTTGTAACAGTGATTTAGACGTACCCGTTTACAGCACACCTTTGATAAATCGTCATAAAGAAGACGAAAGGGTAGGATCGGAAAATGCGTTACTCCTGAATTCTGAATCTCAATTTATCGAATGATATAATCAGTAAAAATAAAGGCTTTAGAGCATTTTAGTGCTCCAAAACAAAAATTAAGAACGAAAATATGAAATATCAACAGAATACATTATCATTACAAATATTTCAGTTGTTTTAATGGACACAATATGTCCCTTTAACTAGCACAACATTGGGCAAATGAATTTAGAAAATGACGAAATTATAGACTTCTTAAGAGTTAATTAAATGCCATGGTAAAGTTAAATTTTATACTTTCTTTTTCCTTTTTAATGTTACGCACATCTTAAAGCTCTCATGACTGATTAGCTAACAAGCGCATAATATAAAAAAAAAGAAATTATCAAAACAATCTTGACGATGGAACCAAATTAGCTGCCAAACAAAACAGCCCCCATTCAGCATTTTTGAAATTAATTTTGGCCATTTCGTAGTGCAATCTTCAAAGTCATAATATAAATCGCATTTAGTTCCAAAACGAATACTTATATTAAGTATAAATATTTTACTGGTTACATAATAAGCAAGCTATGACAATCATTATATTGTATATTACTTAACTTACGATTAGTACAAAACTAATTTGTTTGGAAATTTATTTCAAGAAATCTACAGAGAAATAACAAACGGTATTCAAATCATTATAACTATATTAACCCTGTAAAAATCAGGAGCTTTAAAAACTTAAATTTCCTACATTAGGGGGTTCCGTAGCCGTGGTTCATTATACGGAGTCTTTCAAATTTTACTTTGTAGTTATTGAATCATTTATTGCTTTGAATACTGTTGTTGAAGCGCCTCCACCGTAATTTCTGAACTGTCGATGTAAAATGTTAAAAATACTAAAAATTCAGAAGTTATTTGAGAATAAGGGCTGTCGCAAAAGTCTAAAATGTATTAGAAAACCAAGTCAGTATCAAAAACAAGTTTCTAATTGAGATCATAATCAAGAAGAAGCTGAAGACTACCTAAGAATTTAGAATAACTTTTGGAGATATACTTTCAATGAATATGTCTTTACTTAAAACTATTTGAGAGTACTGTATTCATTTTTAAATAGTAATGCTGAAAATGGTAAACGGCTACAGAATCCTGTTGTGGCTTTTGGCATGAATTTTAAATATTTATTTATTCATCTTGATCTGCGATTGCTCCCTTAACTCCTGTTTGTGCTTCTATATTATATCCTTTGTTTTATACCTCTAGCACTAAATAAATATACAAAAAGAAACATAATTTCAACAGGGTAACTAACCTAAATGCACGCACCCCTTTTTTTGGTTTTAGTTTTACAATACCACTCATTTAAAAGAAACATTAATATCTGATAGTTTTCACTAATCTTCCAGAATTATATTGAAATTGATGTGCACTATTACACTCACAAATTAATTTTGTAGCAGTAAAGTGCTCTATGCCAAAAACTGTTATAAAATATGTAGTTTGACAGTATCGTTGAGTATCAGTCTGAAATGAAATATCTATTAGAACATAGAAGTAAATAAATAAATAAATAAATAAATAAATGATTATTAGAGAACAAGTGACCAGATATATGAAAACTATCTTAGAAAGTGCAACAAGTTTTACTACTTCTAATTGTTAATATAAAGTATTATTTGATTCAAATGTTAGTGATTTCAACAATTTCTATTACTCGAAAATAATGATAAGAAGCAAAGTAAAACCTTCTTTCAAAAATTATTTTTATCTATCATTGTAAAAAATTCTGATAAATAATGTATCTGAAAGTAACAATAAATAAAATGTGAAGTAATACCTGTTTTTTGGATATTTGAACAAGTTAATCAATTTAGCCAACTAATTGTGTAAAAAAGTTTTTCTTGAAACCTTTAAAAATGCCGTTGTTCTGCTAAATTTAATTAAACACTTTATTTTTTCAAAAATATACAATATCCTATACTTCAACCCCCAACCTATCAGGGTATCTCTCTTTGTCTGACTCTTCGTCATCACAGATTTATTCTGTAAAACATCATTTCAAGAATAAGTTTGTGAAAATTAGAGTGCTCAAGCCTCCTCACCCGGCTGAAGGCCTTCGTCAAGGTGGAGATACTGACGAGGAGGAAAGGGATTCTTCGAAATATTTGACTGAAATTGCATAACTAAATTAGTTTATTGAATCCCCTACGAAGTTTTATGAGTTGGTCAATTTGTCGCAGATACCTAAATATCTAATCAAAAAAGATCAAAATGAACATAATGTATTGTATTATAGTAATATGTAATAAACATCGGCAAGTAAAGAAGCTTTCAAATAACACAGTAATGAAATATTTTTTTGTCAAAAAAAATTAGACAGAAATTTTTGTTTATTAGTGATAATTTTATAATGGGTTTTGTTCTGAGACTGTTTATAGTTACTGCGACAAAATATCAATTTTTAAGACCAATCAGTGGCGGATTTACAGTCCTAGCCGCTCTAGGTCCCAGGTCATATGCCGCCCCTTTCTCAGCATCCATCATTATAGACTAGACACACAATTCATGAATTTGTTATCATCAGTGATTGTTTTTGGCACGATTTGCCGTCCTTAATATCTGGCCGGCCTAGGCCCGGGCCTACTGGGCCTTAGGGCAAATCCGCCAATGAGACCAATAGTTCCAGTATACGGATAATTAATATGCTGCTGTAAAGATAGCATACTGTGTAGTATCCAGTGCACTGTCATTTCATTCGACTTGCGTTAGCAAATTTGTTTTTGATTAAATAGACCCAAATATGAGAGTTTCTATAACTACAAACACTTGAGAGACTATAGTAGAATTTTGATGATTTTAGAAGCTTCAAAGATCTTTAATTCTAATTCCGTATTTACTTCGATACGATGTACGTAGAGACCTACTTGCAGTAATGGTATTTCTAAAATCATTTTCTATTAGAATTTTCTTACTTTTTCAATAAATTAGCCGAACAAGTATATTCTATTTATTATTAAAAGTTAAACAACTAGAATAGGCTATAAAAAACTTATTCGCGAAAGTGACAAAAGGTATGGAGAACTAGTAAAACGACTTTTGGAATGTGGTAGGAAATAGCAACTCAAAAAATATTACAAATGTCAAAAATAATTTATTTCGATAACAAGCAAAGCACAATGTTGTGATATACATTCAAATCAATTAAAATCAACAAGTGCATTAGCACATATGATTGTCAAAATTTATATTTATTTCAATACATCAAAATGGATGAGAGTACTAACCGTTATATTTATAACATTGTCTAAGTACAATAATTAATTGAATGTATGTATATATACATATATATATATTTGGTCATATGTACATAACAATGTTCTGACCTACTGAAAATTACTGCCGTTAGTTAACAGTCAAATCGCTTTGACCGGTATGTACCTACCTATGATAATTTAGAACTATTTACAATCTGAAGAAGGAATAATTATCCTTGGTGATTATTAAATGGATAATTATACATAGGAACAAACAATCGACAACATATGATAAACATTTAACAAAAATAACCAATAAGTTGTCCAACACCTACTGTCACAGTATACGTAGAGAAATATTTGGAATAGACATTGGACAATTCGTACGAATACAGCTGACATATTTTAAAGAAAAACATTAAAATATTTGCAAAATTATTTTATAGTATACTTGATGATTGATTTGACCCATATATGAAGACAACACATAAATATAAACAGGAAGGTAACTTTGAGTTTTTCACTAATTTATCGTACATATTTCAAATTAATTAAAGCGTTTTTAAAAATCAAATTATACATACAAAATTCATTTTAAACGAAAAACTTTAAAAAATGTTTTAATAATAAGTCCTTTTTTAAATCCAAACATGTCAAAAAAAAACATCGGGGCGGCCACAATCCTATTACATATTCACAAAGCCCGAATAACTACACTGAAGGATGTAGGAATTTAATTTTTTTTGTTTTTAAGTAATTACCTTACAAATACATTGCGGTAATATATTGCTTTCTGAATTCGTAAAGTACCTACTAACGTAGTCCAGTGTTCACTAATTAAACTTAAAGAATTGGACATGGAACACATTGAGGCACCACTAAATCCATATATCTACTGATTGAATGATGTGATGTGATGTGATATTTCCATGCCAGAAGGGCAACTAAACTTTTATTAAATATTTAGNTTTAGACTCATTGAATACGAAATAGCTCTTTAATTCTATTCTATTGTTACATTTTTTTTAACAGGAATTCATATTTAATATGAGGCAGGGAAATTATTAGAAAATGTTTTACCAATTTTAAATTCAACAATGAAATTTATAAAACTTAAGGTACATTTCTTTTTGTTTATCAAAAAATAAGTCTTACATTATTTTATTTATTTTACAGCATATTTTAGGAAAAATAAAGTCGTTAGTGCTAAAATAACTGACTTAAAAAAAATTTTCAATCTTAAAATTATGATTACCAAACCTGTACCTAGAGACGATAGAGGTTAACATGGAATCAGTGAATTAGATGAAAACTTTACATAAATCAACGGAATTACTATTACCAAAAGTTTTAAAAACGTATACATACCTACTATCAGGTAATAAATTAAAATAAAATGCGTTTCACCAATATTCTGTAAAAATGACAGTAAAATCTGTTACACTTAATGTTAAATTAGCAGGAAGTACAAAGGAAAAAGTATATTCAATGATATCAAAATCATTTCAGTAAAAGAAACAATGGATATCTATAAATTGCTAACTGCAAATTGTTATATCAATTGTGCAATAGAAAATATTTTTTATGATTGCCTAGAACGAGGCACTTTGTGTTTTATTAAAATCACAAAATCTGAAAAGTCCATTTGATGGTTTCAGAAATATACAAACACTTAATTACTAATAGTAATCATTATATGTATTAACAAGTGAACGTTATAACGTTTGATACATTTTATCCTTATCTATTATTTATTAAAGAAGAGGAACGAAACATGTATTATATGAAAGGTACTGTGCTGTAGATGTACAGGAAGTAAAAATAATTTATGTATGTTGCCGCAAAGGGAAGTAAAAAAGTAAAAGAATGTGTTTTATCGGCCGGAAATGAAGCCTGAGGTTACAAGCGCAAAATGCATACTATTATATTTGAAAGCAATTTCGAACTGATAAAAAATTCACAACATGATTTTATAAAACTGATCAAACAGAGTATTAGAATTATTTTGTTTAATTAACGTTGTTTTATTGTACCCATATCAAGACAGACAGACGCAAATTTAACTGGCTTTAATTAATAATAATCAACAATTTCGAAAATGCTTCAAAGCTACTACTACTGTCGATTGATTTTATCTATCGTAGTATCACATGAAATGTAAAATGAATCATAATAATCTCGATGAGGTAGATGGCTGATCGATAAATTAATTGATTCTGTATCAAAATCCGAATATTTTGGATTTCCACTAACTGAAAATGGTATGAAAAATCATTACAAGAACAGGACTGAATCCACCCGGAACATCTGTAAACCTATCAGAAAGTTTATAAAATTGAAAATGCGGTTAGAAAACAAAGTAACAACATAAAACAAGTTTTAGGGCGTATTAGCTTCTTTAAGAACAACAGTATTCTTTGCAGCTCCCATTGGAGCCAAAAGCAAACCTCACGTCCTCACAAATTTATAAACAACAGCAAACACTAGAACACTCACTAGTACCAAGACAGAAGCGGTTACAACTTTTGCGAAGGTGTTAAGACCGCTTCCCGTGGGATTAATGGGTCGCGACCGACTGTCGGTTCGGGAACGTTTCCTCTTACTTGCCAGACCCCTAGCGAGGGCCGGAAATGCCAAACTTTGCGTGAATGTCAACTTATGAATACTTTCACTAAGCGAATAGGGTCCTACACTTCCACGTGCGGCAGCCTTCAAAAGAGCATATTCCAAATCTAACGCGTCGAATAATGAGTATCTGGTCGTGATGGCTGATGGCCTTCGTTCGGGTTCGCAATTATCACTAGTCCTTCGAGATATCACTCCAGATATGGCTGCCGCTGCGACTGACGTGAGAGACGACGCGCTTGATGATGTCGAAGCGGAGACACCGTTATTGCCGCGAGTTGCTTCGCAAACGTCTTCCACTGACGTGTGTTCAGGAGACGATAGGGGATGCAGGTGGGGATATTTGGCATGGTAAGGATGAAGGAAACCAGTACTAGGCCGACGAAAACTAGGAGTTGGTGAAGCTGTTGCTGAATTCGAACCACATATGAGTGGTAACGGAGAAACCTGAAAGAATAATGTTATCATTGCTTGTAATTGATTCGTATATGATAAAAAATGATACTTCATACTCATTATTTTCTTGATGGTATAAATAATAATAGCGATTATTGAGACAATAGCGCAAGCATGCAAATTTTCTTCATTTATGGGGTAAATGCGCGTGGACCTTTTTGAAGTGAAACTTCTTTACGCACGGTAGGGTAAATTCATTTCATGCGAGTTGGTATGTAACGAAATCATGCAACGCATTTCTCCCGCTGTCTGTCCCTATGTATGCTTAGATCTTTAAAACTACGCAACGGATTTTAATGCGTTTCTTTTTAATAGATAGAGTAATTCAAGAGGAAGGTTTATGTGTATAATACATGCATAATATAGTAGAGAAACACTGATAATTTTAGAGGTTTCTAATGTGATGTCGTAAATAAACACATTTTTTGTGCTTACATTGCAAACGCTGGCTAAACCCTACCAGATAGAACAAAATAATATACTACAGTATTGTACACCTTAAAAAGGTCTACAAAAAAGTCCGTGATGGTATATGTCTATCTCTTAGGGATAACCCACAATAACCATTTTTTATCCTTTACTTTTTACGAGAAATAATGGCTTATTTATGAAGCGATTTTAAGCAATACAGCATTAATCCTTATCCAATTAAGTACCTTTAAATACATTGTGCATTTAATATAGATCAATATGGCCCTTTACAGCATGTAATTTAAATGAATATTTTCGAAGGTATTACAGACTAAAAATGCAGACACATGGCGGTTGCGGCGGTACCGGCCGGTTTGTATTGTCTAATGACAAAAAAGCTGTGATTGTTGTATATAACGACATTCTATAGTGTATTAACTATCAGCATTGCACCCGTGCAAAGCATAGTGTACAAGTAATACCATTAAACCAATTGCTTAACCCCTATCCCGGTATGTTTGTGTATTTGAAGAAGTTTCACTTCAGCAGCGTTTTGTAGAATTACACGTTGTATTTCTTTTTTTAAATTCTGGCAGTTGTTTCACTTGAAATTTGATACTATTTAGTTTTTGGATTTTGAAGAAAAAATTATTTCTTTCAGTTTTCTAAACTGACTGATCATTTATAGAATATTTCCATCGAAAAAGGTAGATATTTCAAAATTTTACAAGAAATAATTTTCATATAACTGTTACGTGTAACTTTTAATTCATTTCACTTGACTTTTGTTTTACTGATGATCACGATTATTTACGAACACACACTTTCGATTAAATGCAGTTTTAACTACCGAAACGTTTGGTATGTCCATCGGGCTAACTTGATTTACAAAATCAGCCACTTTTTATGCATATGTAGTTGACAATTTCCTGAAACTAGTCCATTTAGTAAACAAAGCAGGCGTGGGCGTAGGTATGTGTACTTACGTATTTATGCAGTGGCGGTAATTAGCGGCCGAGTTTGCGGACTGCTGTATGATAAATATGAAGCGGGGAAGGTTGTGCTAAACCAACCCACTTTAATAATATTGAGCATAGAATTTTGATTGTAGAAAATAATTCAAGCACAAACCAATCCATAAGTAACATAATATGTAAGCGAGAGCTTTTCTATTAAAAGTGGAGTCACGTAGATAGAAAATGCTTCCGAAAGAAAAAGATTTGACGGGTATTGTAGTTGTAATTTTTTATAATAAGTAATAAATTTCATTTCTAATTAACCTTAATGCACATGCTAATTTCATTTTAAAAGTTCAGTTCAATGTCCTGCGTTCAAAGCGACAAAAAATTATGTGCAGTCAAATGATGATAGTAAAAGGTACAAAAACTATCTACTCTTTCGCAAACCGTATAATAAGCTGTGCAATATATAGCAAAAATTACAGCATTACAGAGCTAATTCTTCATTCTTTTTCCGAGATGAACTTTCTTACTTTTAAATGTTAGCTGCTAAAAAGCTCATGTCAAAATTAAATCACTGAAAAACTTTTCCAAAACGATCACCTTTACGTAGTATATAGGTAGGTACTGTTCAATAACACGAAACAACAACTAATACGGTAACAACATCAAACACTAAAGTCTTTGCAACGATTGAAGTTTTTCACTGACGTACCTACATGTACTATGCCCTGAATCACAAAAACATCCATATAATTAATACCGATTCAGAATTGTGGTTAGGGAAGTTGCATATGCATGTAGCGTATATAGAATTAAAATTTTCTGTATTCTACGTTCATTAATCAAGAGTACAGGCCAATTGGTGAAACGACTAAAACGTGCGCCATAAAACTACATGTATTTTTGGGAAATCAGTTGTTGAGAGGATCTCTGATAACTCCCCGAGATATAAATGTTCAGTCTCTCAGAGTCTCTGAAAGCGAGACTCGAGTCTCCGTCTCTAATCGAGTCTCTCTGGTGTCGCTGAGAGAGACTGTCAAAAAAAACTGTTTAGCGTCTCTGAACGAGAGACTCGAGTCGCTCATAGAGAGATCCTCATTTCGTATCTGGTCTCTGAACGAGAGACTCGAATCTCTGAATCAACAATTTTATCGTTCGAGTCTCTCATACAGAGACTGTGAGAGATCGCTAAAAACTAGGCAATAACTGAGAGACTGAAAATTTACGTCTAGGGTCATAAATGGAATTTGAAATTAGAAAAATAATATTCATTAACCAATACGGATTTCGTAATTTTTATAGTAGAATATTCTTTACATGATATATATTAAATTAAAGAAAATATTAGCTGAATATTTTAACGGCTTTTAAACTGTTTTTCGATTACTAATTACATGAGACGTGAAGAGACAAATGAATGTTTATAAGCACGTTTATTGTGATTAATAAAGCACAGTGATAATTTAATTTTCGTCAGTTATTCAACATCATTTGTTGCAAAGACTTTACCTGATTTGAGTCAATTCCTGAGTCGTGTAGGTGTGAATTTTCACACAATGTTGACCGACCTGAGGAAACATCGTCTTGACAATCAGGAAATATGAAGCTTTGACCGTCTGCCTCTCCGCGAGGTGACTCTGAACTCGGCCAAACCTACAAAAATTGGCATTTAAAATTTTTTAAGATGCAGTTAAACTGCTCCTCATATCTTGACTCTTATCAAAAAAAATAAATAATTTGGAATAAATTCGTAGGTGCCAGAAGTATCTTACTAAGCCAGCAACATATGTTAACGAATTACTAAGTTAATTTACAAAACTAATGAAACAAAAACATTGCAGTGAAAACAATTTAAAAAATGTACACAACTTTGAAATTACATTTATATTAATATATTTATTTAGCCGGCAGTAATGTAAAATTAATTACTTATGTATTTATTTAAACAATGTTCCATTACAATATTCTGTAAAAGTACAACTAAGTATGAAAATTTTGCTTATCTTAGTTACTGTTACTGATGAGTTAGTTGGTGGTCGCAATAAACAAGAGCTATTTAACTGATAAAGCAGTGATTGAAATATTTTTAACTGATTCATCAGTTATTTAGTTATTTTGTTCTGATTTAGTTAGTTACTTAATTACCTAATTCACTATTCTATTAGTAAAGTTTGTTTAAATGTCTGTATCTGATTGAAAACCACATTGGAATTCTTCTCGACCTTAGTTGCGGCTAAGAAAGCATTATTATACTTGAAAACATAATACTTTTTTTATCATTTCAGCTTCTAGTTGAAAAGTATGTGATTTAATTTTAAAACTTATTTGTTCGAAGTGGACGTCGTTCGTACACGACGTCATTATCAGGGGTGCTAATACTATTTGCGGAAACTGAGGTGGAAACGTGTGCGTCTTAGATATGTAAGATGTACCTACCGTATTAAGCCACTTTCACACAATGCGGTAACGACACGATTTACTGCACGCGATTTGTCGTATCGTATCGGAACGCCGCTTTTACACTATGCGACCGAATATTGTTTCGACAACGTTCCCAGTTGAAATGCGAACCTATCTATCCTCCCAGAGTTATCTGGTTTAGTTGTATGTACTTATCTAATGTAATTCTATTAAATCGACTATTGTAATTGAATGTTTTTTCTTTGAGAAAGACATTTTAATGGCTGCAAGTCGCAGTTAGACCTACTAACATATCATACACGTGCAGCGGAAATGAGTATCGGCAACTATGGACAACGATACGTTGGCGCGACACACATGTGTGAAAGGGTAGATTTAATCCTGTAGTATTTTTATCGCACGATTTGTTGCGGAATGTATTTGCGACATTTTTTACTGCAACGATTTTAATATCCGATCGCATCACTGTGAAAGCGTTCGCTTTAAATGCATTTATTTTGGATATACTTTTGTGTCATTGTCATTTACTGCATGCAGTAAACCGTGTCGTTATCGCATTGTGTGAAAGTGGCCTTACAGTAGATTTCGCGAAAACGTTTTCCATCTACTTTCATGTATGAGATCGTATCGATTACAAAGAGCAACACACGGTTTTTGATGACTCCATAATTCTCATCCCATAAAATTTTGATAGCCAGACTAAGTACGAGCGAACAACGTCCACTTCGCAGTTATTAGCATTAGAGGTTGTTGAAATCACCGTACATGTACAGACACAAAAGCTACAAAGTTTCACCTTTGCGGTGCGAAATTTTGAATTCAATTTTATCTGATTTTATTTGAAATAGCATAAACATGAAGCAAAAATTAACAACTAATGCAGCTTACCTTTGGAATTATTTTGATGAATTTATAAACATATTAAAATGCTAAAATGCATACCATTTGTTGGGCATCAAGCAATAAGCACTAAAATCTGTTTATCTCATTCTTAATTTAAGTTTAAGTGATATGTAGATACCTATTTAATTAAGCATAAAAAATATCTGTCTGTTAAAATTATATCAAAATTAGGTACTAAAAATCATTTGTTGGTTTTTGCAAAGGTTTTCAAATAAATGGAAATACATAAATAATAAAAAAAAATTTTAAAAGTTAAACTAAAATTAAATACTTATGAATATTGGTGCGTAAAGCCAAAGGTTTCGTGTTCGAGTCCCGGCGAGGGTGTGACAACAGCAACAATTTTTTCTCATTAACTTGAGGTGATTTATAGTGAATAAAAATTAAAAATGAATTTTCTCACAAATATTTAAAATGAAATAATAAACGTGGTAGACTTGATAAATTATTCGCTAAACTGTTTACAAACCAATCTAATCTTACCTTTAGCTTTTCCAAAAATCGTTTAAAAGCATTTATCTTCAACTTACTTGTAGTAATGGCAACGAACAATGTGGGGTCGAAGGTTTTCCTTCTTCGCAAGATACTTCATCTTGTCCTCTTTCATTTTGTGAGTCCAAATTATTGTTGTTTGATCGAACACTAGACCAGAGTCGTTTCAGTTTCAATTCTTTTAAAGGTTTCTGTAAAAGCACGATAAACAAATTAACGAGTGACGTTGATGAATTAACCATCTCCGTTAAATGTGGTTAACGCTAAGCTAAATTTTGACTTCGATTTATTTGTTTTAAGCGAAACGTTTATTTTGTAGGCAATTAAAATTCACGCTTCGGTAAATTTATTACTTCCGCAGGAAACATTTTGACATTTTATACACATACAGAAACTTTATTTACTGCTTTTAAGGAACTGAAGTGAAACGTTGATCATGCATTTGTTTTGATCAAATTTTTTAAGTGACTGTGAAAATATTTTTTAGTAGAACCTTAAAATAGATTGACATGTTAAAAAAAGTCCCTAATTTATTTTTAGTCCCTTAATGTATCGTTACAAGCAAATATATATTTTCTGTATTCACATGGCAGTCTTTATTGAGGATACTTTTATCCTGAAATCCTTTTTCATATAAAGGTCTAGAGAAAGCTCAAACAGACCCAACCCCAGGTAAGGAACAAAAAGTTTTAAGATATCTCTAGAGATTTTGAAGTTTCGGTTAAACCTTCCACCATGTTTTATTTCAGATTTAGAACTAACAATTGAATTATTGTGACCGTAATACATTTACTTAGATCATCACATTAACTTGAATGAATCTGAGTAGTCAGTAAGAGAAAATTTATATTTTTCTGTTTGTATGTAATTATCAAGAAACAAATATCTCAGGAGGCACCTCGACGTTGCCGAAAGCTGATGCCATTAATCATTACATTTCTAGCCAACAGCTGCAAGACGAAAACGAATTTACGGTAAGTTTCCGTAAGTGTCCATGAATATTTCAATACAGTATCAATGAGTGACTAACATCCGACAGGACAGAATCGATGAAATACCTTTGACATAAAAAAAGCGTGAAAGAAGTAAACAATGTTATGAATAACCGTTTGTTAGATAAATAACTGCACATTAGGGTGGTCGTTAAAAATGAAATTCTTTCGGACGCCCAAAAAAATCCTCCCTTTTGACGAAAAACTACGGTAAAAATTTTGCTTTTTGATTTTTAACAAAAAGAACACGTGCCGACGGCCAATTGAAGTTCACTTTTCNTATGAGGCAGGGAAATTATTAGAAAATGTTTTACCAATTTTAAATTCAACAATGAAATTTATAAAACTTAAGGTACATTTCTTTTTGTTTATCAAAAAATAAGTCTTACATTATTTTATTTATTTTACAGTAGCAATAAGAAGTCACGGCGAATGTACGTCAGGACTAAAGTCAACTTTCCTTACTAATAATTGTAATATGTAAGATAAACTGTACCGTATGTGTTGCTGTACCTATGTTTTATATGAAATAGAGAAAACACAGATAGGATCCAGAATAAATTATTCAGTTGCCCAGTACCAGAAAAATATCGTTAGATTGTTATTGATTAAAATTGAAAAACACTGAAAACAGGAGGTATCACAGAATTTCAAAATGGTCAAGTATCATAGGAGCTCATATTCCTTCAGCATGAAACATATAGGATAATTTCAAAATATTATATTCACGGAACCAAAGATGTGCTTTAGTTTCTAATTTAAGTGCCTCCCCTAACCTAAATATTAATGTCTATTATTCAGGTTATTTTTGAAACATTTTCCCTATATTACAAATACTAAATGCAAACTACTTGAAACAGGAATTGTTTAATTGTATTTATGTAAGTAAATACGATAGAATATTTATCCTCTACTAGCATCATTACTAAGACATGTAGAAACACATTTTCGATATACTTTTTGGCAGAAAACTTCCAAAATTTCTGTAGGACATTGAAATTTTAATACCTATATATCTTAATCTTAAAACCAGGCATGCCAAAGTAATACGTATTATCCTTATTTTCAGGGTAGGATATTTCAAAAATAGTGGAGTGTTGGATCTATGCTGTGGACGTATTTTAATTCAGGGTCAAAAGATACCTCGAAAAAGACTGAGCTTTGAGATTACGATATTGTCAACAGCGTCAAAAATTACTGGTTTATTCTTTTTCTTCCTTCTCAATCCCTAATGTTCTAGGCTTGCGATATACATACATATGTATGCTTCTAGCTATCTGACTAACATTATCTAAATAACATTTTTCTGGACTCTCCTTATCCCCCAACGTTTATGTACGACCCTGCTTCGAAATATTTAATAAGAATTGCAGCTTATAAATCAATAGTACTGCATATTTACTAAATTCACTTTATTGCGTAGTTTTTTTACATTTTCTTTTTCGATTCCCTTTTTTAGGCTTCACTTTACTGGCGTAATCATCTACTTGTCTCGTTACTCCCAATTTTAAAACCTTCTTTGCAGCTTTAAACTCGGCAGTTTTTTCCAAATCGATATCCGTTTCATCTTCTACTTTAGTTTTCGTTTTTTTCTTTGGACTTTTATATTCCGCAAGTTTTAATGTTCCCGACGCTTTCATCACTAAATATTTCTTGGTTTCTTTAGCGGCTTTCGCAATTACTTTTTTAGTACTCGTTAAGTCTACGCATGGCATTGTTTTTTGCATTTTTTCTGTTAACTCTTTAGCTTCCTCGGCTAAAGGATATAACATTTTAATTTCTTTTTGGTCCTTTTTCTGCATTTTTTTTGATTTCTTAATTCCTTTAAAAAAAATTTATGTTGTCATTGTCAAACATGAAATGATTACTTGGTACAAATACAAATCAGATTTAGGAAGGCGTTGGATTTGAACTTAATTATTTAACTCGAATGAAACTTTTAGTAATTTAATTATATTAAAAACTATTCTCTCGTTTTCTCACTTCACAGGAGTTGTCTAATTTGTAATAAATAATCCATTGATGTAGGATCTGTAACTACTTTAAATGACTGCAGACCATAACCGCATAACATTCAATAATTCAAACAATAATTTGAAACATTCGTTTTTTTCTTCTATTATTAAAAAAACAATTTTATGCTGCGCGTCTAACGACTCCTTTTACTGGTACCCGGCCCTTGAGAAGCTTGTGTCTTGTCGGTGTTTGTACTTTTACATGTTTTGTTAGATTTCTTTTTTTGTTTAAGTTCTCTTTTATATTCATCCGCAGGATTTGGGTTTACTTTTGTCCTAATATATTGTTTCGTGTCCTTCGCAGCCTTCATAATAACTTCTTGCGTATCTTCATAAGCAACGCAAGGTAACGTTTCTTGTAAATTAAAAGTTAAATTTTCCGCTTCCTCTGCCAAAGGACATATCTTTTCGAAATCTTCTTTACGAATTTTTTTTGCCATTTGTAACGAAACTAAGTCTTTTTATCATACATAATAGTATATTTGGAAAAATAATGTCAAATTTTGGTTGTTTTTGAAATAAATAGGTTAGAAACTTGTGACGCCGTTGTCAAACATTTAATTCCAATTTTTATTACTCTCACTGCTAATCACTATTGATCAGCGATCAGCACATGCTGTCGTATTTTACTCATTATGTTTATTCTGCATTAGGGGTTACTTTAGCTGCTAGCGGGTATATGTGGGGACCAATGGACGGGTGGGGAGTATGAAAAACTTCCTCGAAGGGGGGTGTCGCGTAAACTATACAAATTGATTTTTCTGAATGCTTCGTAAAATTTTGCTGTTTCTAGTACATACTTAACATCTCAAGGGGAGAGGGGAGTGGTTAAGTATAGTTTTTTATGCCCCCCTCATCTCCCTCTTTTCCTTTCTACACCCCGTAAGCGTACGATATTTGTACATTAAAAAGATGGTTTCTATCTGCAGCAAAATGTAAGCAATCTAAGCAGAAACAGAAAAATTGAAGTTGTAACTAAACGTGTATGAGCAATTTTAAGCAGTTAAATGCTAATGCGTCCTTTTAGTCGTTTAGACTCATTGAATACGAAATAGCTCTTTAATTCTATTCTATTGTTACATTTTTTTTAACAGGAATTCATATTTAATATGAGGCAGGGAAATTATTAGAAAATGTTTTACCAATTTTAAATTCAACAATGAAATTTATAAAACTTAAGGTACATTTCTTTTTGTTTATCAAAAAATAAGTCTTACATTATTTTATTTATTTTACAGTAGCAATAAGAAGTCACGGCGAATGTACGTCAGGACTAAAGTCAACTTTCCTTACTAATAATTGTAATATGTAAGATAAACTGTACCGTATGTGTTGCTGTACCTATGTTTTATATGAAATAGAGAAAACACAGATAGGATCCAGAATAAATTATTCAGTTGCCCAGTACCAGAAAAATATCGTTAGATTGTTATTGATTAAAATTGAAAAACACTGAAAACAGGAGGTATCACAGAATTTCAAAATGGTCAAGTATCATAGGAGCTCATATTCCTTCAGCATGAAACATATAGGATAATTTCAAAATATTATATTCACGGAACCAAAGATGTGCTTTAGTTTCTAATTTAAGTGCCTCCCCTAACCTAAATATTAATGTCTATTATTCAGGTTATTTTTGAAACATTTTCCTATATTACAAATACTAAATGCAAACTACTTGAAACAGGAATTGTTTTCATATTTTGCTAAAATGCTTAAAAACGACTATTGCTCTTGAATATTGTCAGCCAGTATAAATATCTTGGATTAATAAAGTAATTTTACGATACGTCAGTTTTTGAATGTTCTAGCAGCAAAATTCATATATTTAATAAGCCGAACCAGAAACGACATCGATCGGATTCGATGATAAATAAGGGACAAGGTTATTAAAGCCATGACAATAAAAGCACAAAATGAGCTGTTTAAGCTTGTAAAGGGTTTTCCCGGTTTCCACAATAATTGATGTCACACATACTTTATTACTGCGTTTAGTAATCGTAAGTTTACAAACCCTTTGTTATTTAGTACATAATATCATCTTTCTAGTCTATTAGTTTGTGTTATTCAATTTACAAATTAAAAGAAAACTAACACAAAAATCGGTTATGTGAAAAATATTCATATAGCTTATAAGCTTGTTAATGATGAGAAAGGCAAGACAAAGACCAAGACTGACACAATCTTGGTATTGGCCTAGGTCTCTTTTATTCGGCCTTGGTCTTGCTTTTGCTAGCAAACTGAAAATTTTATATACAAAGTTTGTTCCACGAAAATAATATATTAAAGTTGCTTCAAAAGATTTAACTTATAAATCCACCAGAAGTAATTCGTTTAGTCTTGCGTATTTGGTTTTCGTCTTGCATAGTCGGTCTTGGCTTTAGTCTTGATTTTATTGGTTCATTCCTAGTCTTAA